ACCACTACCACTACCACTACCACTACCACTACCACCACACCATCACTACTACTCCTCTACTACTTACTACCCCCAGCACTAGTCTAGCAAGGGCCTCTGCAGATTGACTGCAGATTCGGAATTCAACGCGTTGGAACCGAGCCTGGCGAGGGGGCTGGGTAGGGGTAGGGTTAGTGCCTGGGTGAGGAATTCCGGTCTTTTGGTCGCTTTTTTTCGGCGCCGGGTCAGAAGTCGCACTTTGGGTCGCTTTTTTTTTCGGCGCCGGGCCAGAAGTCGCACTTTTGGTCGCTTTTTTTTTTCGGCGCCGGGCCAGAAGTCGCACTTTTGGTCCCTTTTTTTTTGCTTTTTTTTTTCGCTCTTTTTAGCGGTGCCGTGAAAAAGGTCGCACTTTTGGTCGCTTTTTTTTCGCTTTTTTTTCGCTTTATTTTTGCTTTTTTTTCGCTTTTTTTTCGCTTTTTTCGAGAAAGAGCGAAAAAAAAAAAAAAAAAAAAGAAAAAAAAAAGCGAAAAAAGAGCGAAAAAAAAGCGACCAAAAGTGCGACTTTTTTCCCGGCGCCGCCAAAAAAAGCAAAAAAAAAGCAACCAAAAGTGCACCAGAAAGTGGGCCCTCCCCGAAAAGTGCGCCAGAAAGTGCGCCGGAAAGTGGACCTTCCCCGAAAAGTGCACCAGAAAGGGTGCCAGAAAGTGGGCCCTCCCCTAAAAGTGCACCAGAAAGGGCGCCAGAAAGTGGACCCTCCCCAAAAGTGCACCAGAAAGGGCGCCAGTAAGTGGACCCTTCCCAAAAGCGCGCCAGAAAGTGCGGTAGAAAGCCCGGCTGAGTGCAGAAACCTCAGGGACCGTGTAGATGTCAGACACCCCAGATCTTTTTTGGACGGGTGTAGTGTAGAGTGTAGAGTCCACCCAGTGGCTCACAGCTACTGCGCAAGGTGAGAAACCATCCAATGACTCCAATCATATTTTTGGAACCATTGGAACTCCAATCTAATCATATCATATCTGGATCCACCCACCAACCTCTTTGCACTATTATACTATATATTGTATCGTTTAGGATGTCTAACTGGCCCCAACGTCGCCAATTACAGATTCACCAAATTCTTCTCCAAAAGTCCTTCACTCTACCAGTGATCTTCTATTTGAGATCACTTTGCTGCCTCAGGAACGGAGATCAGCTGGCCGTGACCAGGAGAATCCCAGGTGGTCGCAACATGATCGGGCGTTTCGCAGACAGTGGGGCGTCGCAAAGAACTTTAACCCATGGACGTCCAGACAAGAGTTCCGGGGGCGAGGTGTTTCAAAGACCCCTAGGCACCTCAGCATTCTCAACGCAGTTGCAATTCAAGCTTGCAAAGGGCAGAGTTGTGGTCCAAAAGTGATCAAAAATCACTTGAAAGGCTATTTTGTTGATCTCTCTCAGGCACTAGAGCGCAAGACATTTTCCTGTCAGAGCAAGGCACTCCCGACGATGACAACGTCGACTTTGCTGTATTCGTATGATCAGGATGCAGCAGTTGTTGGCCGTGACATGCTCAACATGCAGGGCCAGCCGAAGGCCTTTGTGGTACCAGGTGACATCAAGGACCATGTTCTTAGAGACCTTGCCGGAGAAGGGATGGCGGTGCCATGCGTTGGCCTGATAGTGTGGTGCTTGTTTTTGACACGACAGTTTCCTTGAGTTCAGGGCCTAGGACCTCGGACCTGAGAAGGTTGCCTGATCCAATTGCAGCCCGGGCTGATTGGCGACGGCAATTTCACTGCGGCTCTCAGCAACCTGGCGGCAGGGCTTAATCGCTACTCATGCGCCGTCAGGTCTTAGTCACATTGGTGACTTAGTGAGACTTAGTGTCTATGATTTTGCGTGGCCATCTTTGTTGCCATGATTGGAAACTTGTCTGAGTCAGGGATTGTAGAGGCGGGAAGCACTCTTGAAATCTCATCCGCTGTCTTCCTGACAAGTGGCTGTAACTACTACTATCTCCTACTATTACTATGTAAGTTTGTAGACTAGTTACTAGACTAGACCTATGTCTGCCTAGTCACTAGTCACTAGACCTTTTTGAGGATGTTTGCAAAGAAAGTTAGTGAAAGACCAAATTCAGTGAGCCTTCAACAGCTCCTGTTCCTTTGATCAGCAGAAGCTATTCAAGCAAGCTGGAATGGTGCGCTCAGGTATTCCATGACGGATGGGCTTTCTGACTTTTTTCACGTGGAAGAGACTTGCGGTACGCGAGTGCCGCGAGTGACTTGTTTTTTTTCGCACGCCCTCAATTCAGCGCGCTAGTTGTGCCCGTGCACTGATCCCAATGCAGACTAGATTGACGTGACTAGACTCTGACTAGACGCTGGAAAAATGTCGTCGCCTGTCAGATGTGAGCGCTCGATGGCGCTGGGTTGCCATGACTATGTCAATCAGTCTTATCTGATCTAATTAGTTGATGTTTGTTGAAGGTTCCCTTAAACCTAGACCTAAGCCTTTGGCCCATGGGCCCTTTTGCCTTCTGCTGATGTGTTTTATGAGAAGACTTGCTGTGTACCTGCACCTGCGCAAGAATTTGCTGCTTAGGCTTGGCTTGGCTGAGCCTAATCCGAGACGTGTTCAGTCACTGTTGATTTCAAGCTGTGAGATTTGAGGAGCAAGTCGAGTAACTAGTCACTAGTCGGTCACTGGCTGCGACCTGTGGCTTGGTTGCCCTCGCCATGGGAAAGCGGGACAAGGGAATCAAGAAAGAACCGGAAGAGGAGGCCGGGCAGTCAGGATGACTGCGTTGTAGTTCGACTTGCAAATCGCACAAATATATATATATATGTATATATTATCCTGCTTTACCTACTTGGGAAAGAAAGAGGTAGGTAGGTAGGTAGGTAGTGCTCCAAAGCTTGAGGTGTCTTTTTTGACATGCAGACATACTGGGCTGCCTCTCATTGAAAGATGACAGTGCCACAGCACTGAGACCTTCTCACCTTGTCTTTCCCCAGGTGCCAGACACTTTGGACGGCGCAATACAGTCTGAGGCCAAAAGGCGAAAGCCATCGCAATCTTCCGCTCCAACGTCTGCCCAATCTACCACGACTGGTGGTGGCAAGGCATCATCATCAGCGGTCGAAGCTGATGCGGTGTCAATGCGGTCATCCAAACAAGCAGAGCCGGCAAAACGCCGGAAGAGGTTCAGCAACTGCTATTTGTGTGGTGCAAATCCTAAGGGCACGAAGGACGGGAGTACCTGGGCGGCTAGGCGCTGTACCTTTCTGAGAGATGTAAAGGTATCGAGGCAAAGCAAGCGCCCATAATATGTGCATGTACATTGCCTTTGAAAGGTCCTACGAAGCACTTTCACTATATATATATATATTATTTTTTTTTAACGTTACGTATGAATGAATAAGTTTTAGGACCTTACGACTTGAGGCCTTAGACTGCAACTGTACACCTCCAACGATCCGCTTTCTATTGGTGCAATTTGTGCTGGTGTTCTTAGTTGACAGGAACACTTGCCCGACTTACCCTCCCTCCCACCTAACAAACTATAGATCTGGCATGATATGGCCTTGTTTAGTTGGGGCAACTTGCAGCTTGCTGGATGTTTGCAGCTGGCTGCTCCCAGCTTCTTCAGGTTTGTGCCTGCGCCGCAGCTTTCCCACCCGCCCACCCTGAGGAAGGGGAGGGGAAAAGGGAAGCCTGCTGGCTGAGGCGGCTGAGGCCTGCATGGATGGCTTGTCCCTTCAGAATCTTGCAAGACAAGGTTGGCGAGCCTAGTCTGGTAGTTCCGCTTCAATAGGATGGGTGAGAGGGTGCATTCAAATAATCTTGCGACTCTATTCTTTGTGGTGCAGTAGTAAGACAGTAAGACTAGGACTTTCTGAATGCCCCGTGTGGCAATTGCCAGCTCCGGCCACAGCTGAAACGCGCAGCTTTCAAAGCAGGACAATGGCTCGAAAGTGGTTATGGCTCCTCAAGACGCAGAAGGGACTGCAGTCTTTGATGCGTGCTTTGACTGCGTGTCGGCAGGCCAGTCCTTGTATCCTGGAGAAGGTTGGGCTGCGGTATGTGAGAAGCGGCTAGGCAAGAATGCGACCACCGTATGAGTAGGTGCTAGCCGCTACTGCTAGCTGCTACTGCTAGCTTTTTTTTGTTCACTCAATTACTTCGGACACCACTGCTAGAACTTGGCCGTTTATTTCTAGAGAGTAAAAAGGGGTTGTCCTTGTCATTGTCGAGAGTTAACGGCTTGGCGGTCTGACACCATAGTTTGAGGGCGCGCAAATGTATGTATTGGTTGGCCAGCAGCCTCAGGCTGCAAACTTTTCTCTTGCTTTTATAAAACTATATATATATATATAGTTTTTCAACTTTGAGTCAAACCACTCAAGCTCCCAAGTTGTTGCCTTTCACGATCCATCCACGATCAAGGTGTGATAGCGACCCAAGTGCCAAAGCAGATCTGAGCAAAGCCTCAAAGCAAGTGGAGGTCAACAGGGAACACGACCTTCATCCTGATGTGCAGACCCGGACCAATGTCAACAAGGGCAAGGCTGCAGCCATTGAAACCTATGTAGAGGTGGGGGTGCTCACCGAGCAAGAGCTGAAGGGTTTGATGGTCCGTGTGGGCGGGACAAACTTTGACGAAGGAGAGAAGTTGAAAGCTTCTGGCCTTGAGGCAGTGCCCCTGAGTGACCACCTGGGCAAAGAAGACGTCCAGCTGTTTGTGATCAGCTTGAGAAATTTACCGTGCCACGAAATTGCCAGCATGCGCAAAATGAAGGTGTCTTTCGCGCAGATTCTGAGCCATGAAGCTTGCTTGGTGGAAGCAGCAAGACAGTTGAGCGATGGACAGCCTGCCAAGGTACATGCTCATGGAATGATTTCGCACCATGAAAAGCTTCCGTCTGGGTTCAAAGACACTGCAGGCATCAAGCACCTCAAAATCATTGACCAACTGATTGGAAAGGTGAAGGAGAAGAAAGATGAAAGGGTTGCCAAAGTGGAGGCTGCCAGGAGAGCTCTGGATCCGCATGATGAGCAGTCAGACTATGACGAGGAGAGCAGTGAGTCTGGGGTGGAAGTCAGAGAGGTGAAAGGAGGCATCAAACAAGAGAGCGCTGCCAAACCAAAGGCAACCAAGGGCCGAAAGGCCGCAAAGAGCGAGAGTGCAGTTGGAGGAATGAGACGGGATTCAGCTGAACCCGTCGTTGGCGGTGCCGGTGATGAAGGGGAGCTATCGGACGAGCTGCGGCGTTGCGCAGAGAAGTATGGCACTACACCTGCGTGTTTCTACATGCTTGACCCGCAAGCCATTCTCAACTCAAAGCCCAGGTGTGGCCGCTCACTGGATGCAGTCTCCAGGCTTGTTATCAAAAGGATGTTGAGTCTTGAGTGTCTTTTCTCCATGTGAATACACGACCTGACCAACCTCCAGCCCTAGATTTAGATCTGGACCCTCAATTCTAGATTCTAAACCGAGTTGGTGAACCATCGCCACCATCATCACCACCACCGTCATCGCCACCAACACTACCAGCACCGCCCAATGCGTGTAGATCTCTAGAACTTCTGCTTCTACCCCTCTAGGCCTCAGACCTTTAGACACCATTTTGGGGGTCTTAGACACCATTTTGGGGATCTCCTTTATAGTAATATTTCATGTTTCCGCCAAAAAAGGGTGAAGATGATGCAACGCAATTTATTGTACCGGCTACTGTGGACATTGAAAACCGGCAATGATGTACCAGAGTACCAGAATCAAGTCAAGCCAACACAACTTTGTGGTGATCTACCCACGTCATGACCCTAGGCTCAGAAGATCCTTCAGACCATGAAGACCAAGGGCTACAGGGAGCACAAGCTGTTGGAGCATACCTTGAGGATGTGCACCTACGCCTTCTCCTTGGGAGTGGACCCTGGCATGGAGAAGATGCCAAAGCGAGAGAGAATCACAGCCCTGGAGACCCTTGAGCGTGAAAAGTACAGTCTGCCGCCAGACATCAAGGGAAAACACTCGGCTGCCTTTCTGAGTGACATCTTCAACGAGGCAAGGACTCAAGAGCTGTCAAGTGCGAAGGTGAAGGAGCTGGTCGAGGTGATTGGCCTTTGGCAAGCTCTCTACGCCCAGGAAGCCCCCAACGCGCCACTGAGCCCGTGGACGGTCAAAAATCCAACCTTTGCTGGTCTTTTGGCAAGTGTGGCTGACTCGTACATAGGCTGCACCTTGGAGGAAGCAGCACAAGATGAGCGCGAGAAGGAGGACATGGAGGCAGCTCAACCGCATTGAGAAACCTGTGCAACTGAGCAAGTAGGCATGCTGAAAGGAAGGGAGGGAGGGAGGGATAGAGAGAGAGAGAGAGTATATATATAGCAGATTATAGCAGCGTAGCGCATACTGCGCAGGCGCAGTCATTGCAGAGCGCAGTGCAACAGGTTGCATAGGCTAGGGCCTAGGGCTGCTAGAGAATGGGGCCGGAGTTCTTCTTTTCAATTTACATTTCTTCCTACTTTTTTGACAAATGCAGCAAGAAAGAAATGCCAAGCCAAGGTCTTGACTACGCAGTTTCTCAGCAGTTTCGGATGCGATGAATTCTTCAACCTTGTGACTGATGCAGCTTCAGCTGAGAAGCCCGCGGCCGCCAAGAATTTGCTCAAGATTTGCGAGGGCATCGTGGGTGACACACTCCAGCCTCTGCCAGAGCAGGAGTGTCCTGACTCAATTCACATGGCTTGTTCTGAAGTCATCTGTGCTTGTCAGTGCCTGGTGATCTTGCTC